TGGAGGATTCTCCATTTCATTGTTTTTAAGCAGTTTATAGCTTTGTTCCCAAATTCATTTACTAGTTTTGCATTTAAATGCAAAGTGTTCTATAGTTTAGTAATGTATGGGCAGCCTGGACAGCTATCATCAGAGTTTGTGCAAAGTGAATAGTCCGATAACCTAAAAATAGGGCTCTATGCATTAGTCTCCAAAAAATGTCCTTTTTATTGTTCTGAATATTTCCAAGTTTTATCCATTTATATGTATTATCTAACTGGGTTTCTTGGCTTGGTGTACTATTCTGTGTTGTAGTAAATGTTTCATTTCGAAGAAGTTCAGTCATAGTTTTGACTGAGTAGTTGCTTGCTGTTATTGATTTTATTTTGATATTATCTGAGGTCCAGAGCCAGGTGTTGTTCTCTGTAATCAATCCTTCTGCTCTTTTCCAAGCTGTTAAATAGGGTTTCTATCTTTCTGGTCACCCTTTTAACTTAATGTTATTTTGGTTTAGAGCAGCTTTGGGTATTATTCCTCTTTTGTTTTGAAGATCAGTAGTGATTAGTTCTCTTTCCACATTTGACCAGAAGCTATTTCCAGTTAGTAGCCTTGTCCAAATTGATAATAGTCTTGCATCAAGTAGATCTTTTAGAATAGAAGCTTTTAGGCCTTCTAGCTTTTCATCAGTTTGAAATATTGAGTAGTGTGGAAGCATTTTAGATTTATTTTTGATTCATTTAGTGAGAATTGAGTCTATTTCATTAAGTTGTTTTCTGCTTGGAGGTAGTAGATAAGCTAGATACCAAATCTTTGATATAAGTAAGGTTTTTGTAACCATAATTTTTTCTTTAAAAGAAAGATTTCTTGTAGAAAGATGATCAATCTTTTTCTTGATTTTGTTTGTTATCTTATGCCTTAGGTCTTTTGCTGGCTTTCTTTTAATATTAGTTTCATAGCCTAGGATGGTAGTTGTGCCATCTTGTTTTTTAGTTTGAAAGTTTTTCATTCTTTGAAGTTGTATTCTTTGAGCATTTTCTGTAAGCCTTTTCATACTTCTGAGCTAGAAGCATAAAGTTGTTCCAGTCTGAAGCAGTGCTAAAGCCTAGTGTTAAATCGTCTGCATAGGCTGCTATCTTGAAAGACTTTTCTTTAATTTGAATTCTGGACAGGCTCTTGTTGAGAGCTTGAAGAAAGGGGTTGAAAGCTAAAACATATAAGAGAGGAGAGAGAGGATCACTCTGTCTGACTCCTTGTTCTACTTTAAAAGGTTCTGAGGTTTTACCAGCATCTCTGATATGAGCTTGTTGTGAGGCAAATAATGTATATTACTTGTCAGAATTTATTATTAAAATTCATTTCTTTTAGAACTAGTTGTAGATAAGAATGATTAACTCTGTCAAAAGCTTTTTGTTGATCAAGAAGCAATAGCCAGTGTTGTTTGGATTGGTCTACTTGGTTTCTCATAACTGTTAAGATATCAAGAGTTGTATCAGTTATAGATCTGCCTGCAATAAATGCTTGTTGTTCTGGCCCAATCAGTTGGTTGTATATTGGGTTGAGATGATTTGCTAAAATTTTCATGAATATTTTAGCATCACTGTTGACTAAGGAGATGGGTCTCCAGTTGTTAATATCTTTCAAGTCATCTGACTTTTTGGGAATAAGAGTAATTATAGTTTTGTTTCATGAGTGTGGCATGCAGTCTGTGTCTATAACATAGTTGAAGAGTGTCAATAGAAATGTAAGTATTTCTTCTTTTGTATTCTTGTAGAATTCATAAGTTAATCCATCTGACCCAGGAGTTTTGTTGTTTGGCAAGGAGTTGATTACCATGCTAATTTCTTCTTTACTGATGTGTTTTGTTAGCTGATCATTTTGTGTCTGGTTAACTAAAGGAAGGTCTTTTGTTAATTCTTTGGCAGCTTTTATGTCAAATTTCTCTGTTTTGTATATTGTTTGGTATTTGTCTCTAATGTTAGCTAGTACATTGGTGGAATTCTGTAGAACTGTATTATTAGGTATTTCTATCTCTGCTGTGCAGGAGGTTGTGTGTTTAGCTTTGTAGAGGGAATAGAAATATTTTGTAGACTTTTCTCCTTCTTCTATCCATTTAGCATTTGATTAAATCTGCCATTTTTCAGAAAGAGATGTAACTTTTTCTTGGATTAGTGTTTTTGTGTATTTGGCAATAAGTTGAAAATCTTCTAAATCAGTAATGATTGTATCTTTCTTTCTGGTGCTGTGTTTGGTTTAAAAGCTCTAACAATTGATTGTAATATGCATTTGTGGAGATCCCAGTTTTGCACTTCTTTTATCTTTTGTAGTTCTTTTATAATTTCAGCTCTCAGTTCCAAGTTATACCAATGTTCTTTTTTGAATCTCCAAAGTGGTATATGGTATGAATTATTTTTGCCTGAAATTGTACTTTCTACTAGAAGATGGTCTGAATTACCTGGTCTAGTAGTAGTTTTGAAGTTGAGGTGGCCAGATTTGATTTTGACAAATATATAGTCTAATCAGGTGGCCATTAATTGATTATTGAGTGTTTTGGTAAAAGGTTAAGAAGGGGTTGCTTTTAGAAAAACTTGCTGTGTCTATGTAGTTTTTTATGAGCTCTCTTAGCAGTATTCTAAAAGAGTCATTTTGCAAAGATGCTTGACTGATGCGATTAATTTGAGAATCCAGATTGGTGTTAAAATTCCCTGCTATGATAGAAATAGCACTGTCATCATTAATTGGTATCTAGTTGTTGAAGAATTGACACCTATCATCCCAACTGAGGATGCATAGACATTTGTAAGTAGATAAAGTTTATTTCTGAAGGTTACTTTTGCTGATATCACTCTGTTGTTGTGTGAGATTTTGGAGTTTTTTAGTTTAATATTTGGTTTTCCAGTTAGAATAGCTGTTTTGAAAGACCAAATTAAGTTGTAATTTCATTGTTGTGCTAGAAACTTTCTTGTTGCAGAATCATTTAGATTTGTTTCTTGGATAAATATTATATCTAACTTATAAGACTTTAAAAGTGTTAGGGTTTTTTGAGCCTTAACTCTATTGTTAAGGCCCTTGACATATAGTGTGTCAATTTTAATCATGAGATATAAAGAGATATGTTGGCCACATGGCAGTTTGTTCTGAGTAAGAATGATTAACTAATAGAGAGAGAAGCCTGTTTAGGCATTCTCTGTCCTACTCTTATTACTTTCCTCACTTGTTGTAAGGGTTTTCTTCTTGTTTTCTTTTTGGTTATTCTTTTTTGAAGTGACCAAAGTAAATTTTTTCTCTTCAGTTTTGTTTTTTTTGTTATAGTTCAATGGTTCCATTGTTATATCTTAGTCATAGTTTGTAGCAGATGTTTCATTATTTGTGTTCTTGTGATTAGCTTCTATTGAAGGTGAACCATGTTTTGAAATAGGGATACTACTTGTGTTTTCCTCAAAGGTTAAGTCCTAATCATCTATAGTATTGATTGAGTCATTTTCTTTTAAATGATTAGGATTTGGTACATTAGTGTTTGTTCCATTTTGTTCTGTAACCATATCTGAGATATATGGGTTTTCTGGACTGTAGGATATGTTTTCTGTTTGCATTTTTTGGTTAAGTTTGTTTGTTTCCATTAAGGATTTCTTTTATTCTTTTTGTAACTGTCTTAGTTCCATTGAGGCTCTAAGTTCTGAACATTCTTTTTTAATATGTTCTGTTTTTTCACAGTAATAACATATTTTTGAAGCCTTCTTCTAGTCTGTAGTGACTTTGTGGTCACTGACATGTGTGTGTCTAGGTAGTCTGGCTATCAGGTTTGGATCATTTGATATTTCAAAAGTTACAATCCATTGGTCAGAGCATATTGGAGTTCCTTCATATAGAAGTAGTTTTATAGAGGCAATAGTGCCGATATCCTGAAAAGCTTCCTTAATCTGTTCATTGATAACTTCTTTATTGCCCATTGGTGTGTTCTTTAATTTAACTAAAAAGAATGTATGCTTAAGATTAACTGAAACATATCCAAAGAATGTTTGTTTAAATATTGTAATCCCTTCTGAAGTATACAGTTGTTGTTTGTCTTTATCTAAGAAGGCTATTTCTAAAAGAGCCTGTCTGCCTCTGATAATGTGAGTTTTTGCTGCTAGCATATCTTCTCTCAGTTTGATGTAGAGGGTTGAGATGATGTCATTGGTAGTTATGTTGGTAAGCTTAGAAATGTCAAAAACAAGAGCATTTTCATTCTTAGAATAGATCTTGTTTCTGGGTGCTGTATTAGAGAAGGTTGCCTTGCCTCCTTTCAGCTTCGAGAATAAATCTGACTATTGCTTGGATTTGTTGTTAGCTGGTTTGTTATTCACATCATCTGATGTTGTGCTATCTATGATTTTGTCTTGTATATCAATTTTGTCATATGTGATGTGCACATGTTCTGTATCTGTTTGTTTGTTGTTTACTGTATTTGCTACTGCACATGTCTTGTTGTTTTTTACCTTGCTGTTTTTGCTTATAGAAGAAGTAGCTTTTTGTTTGCCTTTACCAACTGGTTGTTCTTCTTGTTCTATGTTACTGGCCCAGTTTTCATCACTTTGGTTGTTGCTTTTACTTAGTTTACTATTTGGTAAATATGGCATGTTTGCTGTTTCTGCTTTTATAATAGGAGTTTTTTCTTGTTCTGATGACAAGTCAAAGTTCTTTTTTTTGGCTCTAGTGTCAAGAAGTTTTGGTCTCTTGAGTATCAAGCTGCTCATGTTTAACAGAAATAAGTTTCTTTTCTTGGATATAAGGGCTTTAGCCTTACTATAGGAGTTTAGAAAAAAGTTTTTATTTAGTTTTTGTGAAATTTTGTTATTTTTGTATTGTTACCAAAAGTGTATCAGAAAGAGTTTTTTTTTTAGTAAGATGTTGTTTAGCTGCAATGATGTTATTTTTAGCAGTTTCGAATAATGATGATATAATTTCATTAAAAGAGCATCATAGACCTTGTATATCTATAATAAGGGCATTTTCATTTCTTTGATTTAATGTGTTTCTAGAAGAAAAGAATAAGTAAGTTGACTGGCCTCTTTTAAGTTTAGAAAAGAGACTTGACCATTTTTTGTGTCATTCTGCTAGAGCTGGGAGTTGTATTTCTTTCTAAAGTGAAGTCCCCTTGTTTGTTCATTAACTTATGTTAAGTTGTTGTTTTCATGTTGTCTTTGTTACCTGTACTAGTCTTGGAAACCTCTTTGTCACATGTTGTTGTTTTGTTGTTATCTTTGTTATGTGTACTAATTTTGAGAACCTTTTCATTAAGTGTGTTGTCTTCAATAACCTCTTCATTATGTGTAAAAGTATTGTTGTCTTGTTCCATGAGTGTTGCTATGTTGTTGTCACTTTTTTCTACCAATAAGATATTTTCTTTTGTCACATATATTCTATTTTTTTTTTTTTTTTTTTTTTTTTAAAACGCGAAATGGCGTACTTTATTTAATAAATTACAAATACATTATTATTAGA